CGCAAAGAATAACCAACCTCAGAGCAGCACTCAACCTGCAAGAGGCAGGACCACACAAAGGGGCTTGTGTGGCTGCAATGAGCACAAGAGTGGCAGATCTCTTACTCCAGACCAAGCATGGGGCGCTCATCATGCCAGGAGTTTTGCATGTCATGGTTTCTTCACTCTTTCCTTCTCAAGACATTTGCTGAAATCCTGCATGAAACACGTTGTGGGCACCAAACGCACAAATACAGTGTAGTGCGTTTGTGACCATACCCTGACACCCAGACTGGCATCAGAAGACCAGCAGCATTTCAATGTCCATACAGCTGCTGGTGTGTAGAAAGATTCAGGAACCCTTATCCTCACTCAGTGATCAAATTGATGTCCAAATTCTATTCCCTTTAACCTCAATGTAATCGACTACACAAAGAATGATTTCCATTAAACACGCACTGCCCAAATACTCCTGCTTTCTGTTCTTCCCTTGTGGATGACATGTTTTTTTTCCTAAATTAATTAGCTTTCATTGAATAAATCAAAATTTCTCCCAACAAGAGGAAAAAAGGACTGAAAAATGTATATTGTGGAGAAAATACAGTACATATGTATTGAAAAGCCAAAAAATAATGACATGTCCAGAGACTATGGTCATTTAAAAGCTCTGAAATGTGATTTTGAAAATGGCTTCACTGAGTTAATAAAAAGAGAGCCACTGTAAAAACACGTATAGATTTGTTAAGTTCCATTTCCCTATTTTTCCCAATTGCTGAAGGTCAGAGCTACGTCTTATTTGCCAGTAAAAGATTTTCTAGGACTCTTCAGGTACATATCACAGATCACTTACCCAAATGATCATAGCCAAATGAGAAATCTCTGAAGCAGAACTGGCTGTACATACGACTAATGCATTTTGTTACTGGTAAGCAGTACCTTCCAGTAATTCAAGAAGCAACTAAAAGAGTTCTCCATCCAGAAATAAAATATATTTTCCCCTCCACAAAGATGTGGTCAGATGGTACATGCTGAAGCAGGATGTGGCGCCGCTAACAAAACAGAGCCTCATCTGTGTGTGCCCTGAAGAAGGAAATGGTGCAAAAAGACTAAGAAAGTGCAGTGTGGGGAACAGGGGGAGGTGAAGTGTCCCCGAGTGCCCTGTACTGGGGACAGTGAACAGCTCTGCTCAGGGAAGGCTCCCCGTGGAGTTCACCAGCCCCTGGAGCAGCAAGCGGGGCTGCTGCTGGGTCGCTGCCCTCCAGGCTTGTCTTTTGTCCCCAAAGCACTGCTCTTATAAGAACATTCCACTTAGAAAAGCACAAGGTGCTTTCCAGATCTGTGGAAAAAATAAAATCATAAAGCTCTTTTCTTCCATCATTGTTCCTGCCCTTCTCAGCCTTAAAGAAGGGACTTCAGTTCACACAGGTATGATTTTACAAAACCCTGGCCAGGCTCAAAAGCAAAATAACACCAATCAATATTACCCAAAATAACATCCAACTAGAAACCTCTACAGAAAACCAACTGCATACACTACACAAAACCACAGACAGATTTATCTGCCTTGCTCATGTGCTTTTTGGAAGAGTCCTTGCAAATTCCCATAAAACGCATAAAAAAAAGATTAAGAGAACTTTGTTGCAATAAAGGCTGCAGATGGATTCAGCATTTTTTGCAATACCTAGCAGATCCACCATAGGGCTACTTCTAACAGGAATCTCACCCAGTACAATGTGAAAGGAGGCTGAGGGCTCTCTTTCAGACCTGGCCTGTATGTCCGACACTTTGTCTCTAAACTCCTTGCTCAGATGGTTCCCCTTCAGAGATAATTTTGCAATGCTATTTGCCTCCTGCCAGCTGTTGTGGTATAGCAGGATGTAGCTGGCAGGCGAGTCCACTGCTTAGCTCCATCCTTAAGAGCCTCTCTGACCTCCAAGGGATGACGAGGACTGCTCTGATAGCTTTCTGACTCAGTCTCTATATTTCTGGGCAGGCCACGTGCCTACACTGCTGCATTGTGCAGGGCTGCCAACCTCATACACACCACATCTGTCTTTGCTTTTTTCTGTCTCTGAGGCATTTATTTCTCACCTTCACTGCCCCTCTGAATGAATCTGTATATGCTTTAATTCATGCAAAACTGAATCGTCGGCTCGGCTCTGGGAAGTCTTCCAAAGGGGAAACTGTTGTCATTTCCTTCTGAAACAGGGCATAACGTTACCTTTACAACATTTATTTTTGAAATGACAAGCTCTACTGCTGCTGAGCTCCAGCAGCTTCCATTAAAAATGACCAGCATTTGTGAGAGCTCTGGATATCAAAGGCTTTGTCCCCAAACCACCCTGCCCTTCCTTGCTGTAGCTCTTGCTACCTCCCTGGGCTGACACATCTGCTGCTGCTCAGTTACTGCTATTTTTTTAATGATCTCATTTCACTCCAGCACATCTCGGTGCTACTCTGCTGTAATCACGGGGATTAGGACAGGGGTGAACTCAGCTGCTTCACTGGCTTTGTTCATTGATGGACTTTTAGAAATCTGCTGCCGATGTGGAAGCTTTACTGCCTTTAAGCCTTTAAGCATAGCTGTGATGGCAAGACAGTCTGCAGGGTCTCACACAGTCCCTGCTCAAGTGTGTTAGGAGTTACTAAGCCACACTACCCCATTAATAACCCTAGAGCCAATTACAATCTAGTAAATGTCCTGGAATCAGCCCCTGGGTGCAACCATGCCACATTGCTATCATATTTTCACCTTTCTATTCTCTGGGCTTTGCCTTTAGCTTATAGAGCAACTTCTTAGTGACTCTTCATAACCTCCTCTCTGCACACAATGTTTCTGGATGCTGCATGCTCCTACCAGCCTTCATCATGCCACTGAGCTTGCAGGGCCACACAGAGCTCACCTGCTTTTCTGTCACTTTAGGACTCCACGATAGCAGGGCAACCCCCACCTCAATGCTTCCTCCAGACAGCTTTAAGAAAGACACGGGGCAAACACACTGAGTCTGACCCCTGGGTCTCACTTAGAGTAGTAGGACTTGGCTTTCTGGGGAGAAGGGGTCATTCCCTGGCCCAGTGCTCCTGGTTCTTTATGTGCCTTGGTTGCCCAGCCTTCAGAGATGCCTGAAAGTCTCAAGCACTATGGCTTTCCTTGGAAACATACCAGCCTGGTTTTCCTCCTCTTGCCTTTTCCCTCAAAGGTGATCTGCTTCAGTCAGATGGGGGTGCCACAAACTGCAGTGCAATAGTGGGACTTACAAAAAATACAGGTGCTCCCTTAGTCCTGTTCTGCTACGAAACAACCCCAAATCCTCAAGCACATATTCAACAGAATGCACCGGGAGAAGCTTTCTACCAAACAGCCTATCCCATACAAGAAGCAGCAGGAAAACAGAGGTTTTTTTATTGTTTCTAGGACCTAAATCCTATGATACTTTTAAACCTGGCTGGCTGATATTTACTTCAAATGAAGTAAATGCCATTTACCCTGTGAACAGTGGTCCTTATCTGAACTGGGTGGAACGCTCAACTCTAAGAAAATGAAGTTTTCCCTGCTCCCTTTCTGAAACTCCAACGTCAATCATAAACTTGGCATAAGAAGTATCGCTCACGGAGCTGAATCAAAACTATTCATTTCTTCCAATACAATTTTTCATTCCAACCATCTTCCTTTAATATTTGCTTTTCATAGTGTTACAGGTTAATGCATGTAACCTAAATCCTGAGGAAAACAAAACTTAAGTAACTACAGTTTGCAAAAAACATCACCTCGTTCAGAACTGGTACCTGCTGTGGGTCAAACAGCATCAGTGGAGAACCATTCTCCTAATTGATTCTTTCTGAAACCTGACATCTATCCTGAAGTTTGACCAAAATAAACCTGCACGGATAGTACACATAATAAAGAAAGAATATCTATTCAACCCTACAAAGCATTGTTCTGCATTCTAACAACCAGAGTACAGAAAAATGTAAGAGGAAAATTGCATGATGATTCCTTTCTGAAATCCTAAGCTGATGTGTGTGAAACTTAATGAAAGCAAACCTAAACTAAACAGTGCCTACACCAATATGAATACAAAGCCATGCACTCCTACAGATGTGCTCCCTGTCTATGAATCTATATAGACCATAAAAGAATTTTCAAGCACTTGCTACAGCTAAGAGGTCCTTTTCTAAGACCAGAAAGCTAATGCAAGCCAAGCAAACCAAAATCACAACAGTTTTGCCCCAGCAGAATGATGAAGCCATTCCTGTATCTGTCCCTTTCTCTCCTCTCTCTAAGCACCAGGGCAATTCACCATTTGCTCCTAGAAGTCCTCTTGATCCAATTCCAACAGTGTCAGAAGAAAAATACTCTCCTCCCCTTTGGAAACCCCTACCCTGTGTCAGCAGAGCTCCTACAAAACCCTGGGCACAGCAGAAGTCACGGAAGATCACCTTTCTCTCAGAAAGCTGCACTCCACTGCAATCCCCAAGAAAACCATACTCAGTTATGCAGTCCCTGCATCAAAACTAATCTGAGGCCGCTTGCTCCTACCAAACACCATTTTTCTCCCTAATTCCATGGGCCATAAAATAATCAGTAGGAAACTTCACACCTCATTGCCTTCCTTCTAAATCCCTGGCAAAAAACACATCCAGGTAAGGAGTGCCCCCATAAAAAATAATATAAATGCATTTAATCCTACAAGGATTGCTCTTTCTCTAAATCGTACCATGCATAGATGAAAACTGCTCCACACATCACATTATTTTAAAAAACTTATTTCTAATTACAGTGAAAAATGTATTCGCAATAGCAATATCTGTATCTAGACCAACAGAAATCTATTTGATTTTATTTGGTGACAACAGGATCTGTAGACAATGATCTCATCTGCTTTCATTCTAAATCCCTAACCATAACCCTAGGAAAAAAAAAAAAATCTGGGCTGGCATTGCCTCTACAAAAACGTCTAAGTCTTTCCCTTCCATAAGTGCTTTTTTTTTTGTGCTATCTTCACAGCTGGTAAACTCACCTCTAGCAGCACTCTTTGTGCACCTTGCTGGAGGAACAACTCTCCTCTTCATCCTTATCTTCGACTACATCATGACAGACAGCCTCTGAAACAACAGCAAGAAAAATGTTCCAGAAAAATGGCCCTTCTCATCGCAACTCTAAAGACTAAATGCACACCTATAAATATATATTTATGTATGCTTGAAATACATATATAGAGAGAGAATTCCATATAGAAGTACAAACATACATATACGGAATAAAAATGTGCTGTTTTCTTTTAGAAATCCCACCCAAGACCTTAACACGAGGTAAATTGCACCTAAGTGAGCAGTCCTGTTTGACAATTTACTTCATATAAAGCCATTCTCTCTCAAAAAATGTCATTTCCCAGCTTAGCTTTTAGGGTCACAGAAAAAATTATTCACATTTTTTTTTCTCATTTCTTTCTTTTAGAAACCCTAGCCTTACCATGAGGGACACATGGAAAACAAACGTCTGCCATAACTTTAGAAAAAGCCTGTCTCTCCTCGCTGTGGGCTATGACAGATTCAGAAGACAACTACTCTCTTCAGTCCTTCCCTTCTGGAATCATAAATTTACCATACTCCTGATCTGAAATATCTTCATGATCTACTTTCCACTGCAACACTAATCTCAAGAGATTTCCCCTTACATGGATTCAGCCTTACTGTTGGTTGCTGGACCCATTTAACAGAATTGGAAACCTTTTACTGAAATCTGACTTGAATGACATAAACTATGTCAGCCAAGTGCTACCTCCACCGCAACTGTCCCAAGGCTGCTCCTTCCCCCAATATTCTTCATCCATTCTCATGTCCTAGCAGCACTTAAGACGAAACATCTGTTAACACTGCCTTGTTCATAGAACTTCAAACTAATATAATTACATGTTCTGCTGCAATGTTAAATGTGAGGCAACCATCTATGCTGACACCAGCTCAGTGTATTTTGGCTCGGAGATGTCTGATGAAAACTGGAAGTCTGCACCCTGTGCTTGCCATGCAGAGGAGAAAGATAACGGGAAGCACGGGGACGTGCACCTTGGAGATTTTAAACAGTCAGAAGTTCTCAGAGGCTTTTATGTGCTAAAAACAGTGTTCCTGTTAAAAGTATTTGATTTATACACTGTATGTGAGATTAAGGAAAATTAAGTTTCCTGCGTTAGTTTTATGGCCTTTGTGAATATAAAAACATGGGAATTTGTGTTGCCCATAAGTAATTTGTGGTATTCAAATTTTCCAGTAACTCCTAAAAACATCTTTAATAGTCAAATTTTTTTACTTACTTAGGTTTTGTTCCTCATCTCCACACAGGGTCGAAAGGCCCTGAGAGATCTTTCTCTGTTCTCTTCCTCCCAATTTATTAGATTTAAAAAATAGGTATCAGAAAAACAAAAAAGCAAAACCCAAATTATTTTCTTCAGGACTACAATCCAGCTGCAATTACTCCTGCATGCTCTGTGAATCAGGTGTCTACTGAGTTTTTGAGGAACTGGTTTGCATTTGCACATCAGTCTTCAAAGGTCCTATCCCACTCTGGCAAATCCTCTTTGCTCATCGCAGATAGGAGCAAATCTTGTGTTGAAACCTGAAAAATATTTTCCCAGACTAGCGAAGAAAACAGGTAAAAGATCCCATACAGCTGTATAACAGCCTATTTTACTGTAAGTCCATGTCTTGTGGTTAAAATTTTTGATGCCTATGAATAAAAGGGCTCTATCCTGAACTTTTCTCATGGTTACTAACTCCTGGGTGCCTATGAGGAATTTGCACTGCAACCATTTTTTTTTGCAATGGAGGACACTTCTTTCCTCATCCAGCTGTTTATATTCATTATGCTTGTAAGAATATTATGTTTTGAGGCTTCTGATTCCTGGGAAAATGTCACTGAAGCTGGACCACTTCAGAAGTTATTGTGCAATGAACAATGTGTATGACAGACTCCGTCATACGCACAGGCATTTTACACAAGAAGCCAGGCTAAAAGGGCAGGAAGAGATTTGCTATGATTCCATATAAAATTGGAAAGCAGAGTTGAGAGAGCCTGACTTCAAGACACTCCTTGAATCCTTAGGAAGACTGCATGCAGGTATTCGAAGCTGGGCCTGGTCTCGTTAACAGAACTGAGAAGTCAGATTTACATTTGGGACCACTTCTCTGCTTAGGAAAATGTCATTTTTTGTCTGCTGCTTCACTGATGTTTAATGGTCATTGGACACAAAATGGTTACACTTAACTGAAGGCTAAGCAACAAGGCAAGCCAGTGTATTGACTATATAGTCAATCCGTATATGAATATTAAATGCATTTTCCCTCTTTAGACCTCTTATTTTCACTTGGGTTTTGCCAAGGGGCATTGTAGATTGGATATTCAGATACATATCAATTCCATAATGGTTTTGTAGTTGAAGTCATGCATAAAAGGATGGAAAACAGCACGCTTTACTGAAATAAGACCCTGTGAGCATTGAGGAGTTATTTTTAATATTCCTAACACATGAAGCCTATGCTACAAGGCATTTATGTAACTCTTCTTTGTTTAGTACCACCTCCATCAGAACATAAGTATTTGCAGCTCTCTGAAAGCAGCTCTCTTGCAAAAGCATAACCTACCTTGAACACATTATGGAATCTGTAAAAACTTCCCAGTTATTTAAAGAAAGAACCAAAGATCTGACCTCACCTGAAATAAATTAAACAAATGCCTCAATGTAAATCATTTCTTTTTATCAGAATTTGTAACCTTGGTAGACCTTGTTAAGATGCACGCTTTGCCTTTTTTTTTTCTCTACCTATAAATCATTCCTTTAATGTAGTCAATGTAACGTAACAAGTACTAAGCACTATTTTTTTTTTTTTTTTTTTTTTTGGTAACATAACAGGGCTTCTTCTGAGGCAGAGAACCTCCTTGTTTGGTGCCGTGTACCACAGACCCTAGGAGCCCCCAGGCCTGGTGAACTCATGGCCGGTTTAGTTTCTGGAGAACATAAAACTGACCTGGTATATATAGGCTGTGCAGAGCACTGTGCAGAACTGTACTGCAGATACTTCCTATCACTCATACTCTGATTCCGTTTGATAAATTGAGCATTTCACATAGAAAGTTCTGTTGCAAGCAGGCAGCCTCTCACTGCCAATCACAACAGGAGTGAGTGCCTGCATTCCTTACCGATGGGCTAATAAGACATCAAAACATCTCATTCAAGAAAGAGAGACACAGACAAGCGCAGCATCTTGGCAGCAGGTAGTTATCTTACTTTCAAGCTCATCACATCTACAGCCCTGTCCACTAGAGATCCCAGCAGGCCACTTCATATTAAAATTTGTCTAATGTGGAGTCTTCAGCTGATGGTGTAAGCAAACAGAGCCAAGGAAGTTACAGTTGGTCAATGTGAGGTCTATTAGCAACTTTATAAAGGCTGGCTTTACTCCCAGTGAAACCAACAGCAATTTACAGCAAACACCTTTATGTCCCAAGGACATGAGTTTATGCGTGAACAGTTGCCACAGGAGGTGCTCAGCTCTGCCCTTACGACAGCTGATGGACTTCTGCTGCTAACAGCAATCTCTGCTGGCTCCTTTGGAAATCTTGCTTTGGAAATTCTGCTTGTCAGGCAATGACAGATAAAGCTGTACCTGGCTGATTGTCTCCAGACCGGATTACCACACAGGGAATTTCACAATCACACTAGATTCCAATTATTTTTCTCCTTATTCTGGGTAAGAATTCAATTTTCTTCTGTATGACAAAATATTGCCAAGTACATCTTTCTTGTCTAAGCTGAAGTCAGCTTCACTAGATTGCCTCTGCTAGAGGCCCTTCTCCTACGTGCACTGCTCTTCGCAGTGAACTTTTTTCTTCTTCAGCAGCTCTTTTCTCCAAGCTGTCCCTGAGATCCTGCAGCTTCTTTCCACGTTGCACAACGCCCGCCATTTGAGCCGGCCTGTCATGATCAGACTTTCATGCTGCTGACAGATTTCCTCTGTCATTTTTTTTCCATGCTAGTCAATAATGTGTTAATTTCAGTAACACAGTTCTTGGATGTAATGCTATTCACAGGCCTGCATCAACTCCTAGGGCTGCATTCTTGAAATTACCCACTCCAGCTACACCTGTTAATTTCCCATGAAGTTTAAGAGTTCTCCATGTGTTATGCCTCTAACACAGAGCCACTTCCCATCACTTTTCTAAGCACCTTCTCCTCCAGTTCATCTCAAAATTCAAACAAAATGTTTCTTGAAATGTATTTTACTTTTCAGCTATTTCACACTTGGGATGTGAGCAGGCAGTGTTTCCACTCTTTTAGAGGTGGTGCTCACTTGCAAGCAGAGCCAGGCTTACTTATGAGATTCAAGCAGTACAAGGAAATCTTTTCATGAGACTGATCTGAATTTTGATTATCTAATAAAAGGTGGAACAGGAGACAAAATTGGTTTGATTTGATTTACAGTCTCTGAACCATGCTGCAAATGTAGCCCTCCTTTTATGCTCTCAAACTGGTTCCAATTTATTCCTGTGTGTTATTTATGCAGATACATTTACTGAATAGTTTATCAAGTGATTTTCAGATTGGGCTTGCTGCTTATTTTACATAAATTGATCACCAGCTACTGGTTTATTAACCTGTTTAGTATACATGCTACAAGGAGGAAGATCTCCTAAAACACACAGTATTATTTCTGCTCCACCAGGTCCTCACAGGAGACATCATACTGTCAGAAGAAAAATGAAGAGCAAACACTGAAATCCCAGAAAGGTAATTCTTAATAATAATCAAGGAGTCACAGCCAAGTTTGTGAAATTTGTGTCAGTTACCCATGCATAGCAGGTTTTATATTATGACGTAAGAAAGAAATCAAAATCAGGAGAAACTGTGGTAGGCACTATAGAGGAGCAAGCTGTTCCTCAGAGAACTCAGCATCTCCATTTGCAAAATGCTGGGCATGGAAGTGTGGAGACATGAGATGGCAATATCCAAGGGTGGTCCCCGAGTGCCTGGAGATGCCAAGCCTTTTCAGCATCTTCCATGGCCGGACTCCCAGTCCCAGCAACTTGGCACTGCTGAAATCCAAAGGGGGAA